ACCCCTGTCCCATCACAGCCGGGCCATGGCTCCCTGCCTGGCACCCCCGTTCCATCACAGCTGGGCCATTCCCCCCAGCCTGGCACCCCTGTCCCATCACAGCTGGGCCATTGCCCCCTGCCTGACATTCCTGTCCCATCACAGCTGGGTCATGGCCCCCAGCTTAGCACTCCTGTCCCATCACAACCGGGCCATGCCATCCCAGCCTGGCACCCACCACCATACCCCATTCCCCTGCCCCCCATGCTGTCCGTGGCCCCAGCGCGCTCCTCACCGGGGATGGTGACGTGCCAGACCAGGACGGGATGCAGGAAGCAGGCTACCGAGAGCAGCACATAACCCAGGAATTTCTGGAAGCTCGCTGGCTGGGTGGTTCGCTTCCAGAAGGCGTGTGCCAGGGAGCCTGGCTGGTAGCTGGGGAGAGAGGGGCAGGCGTAGGCTTGGGCAGGGAGAACCGGTCACCAGCACCAGAGGCACATGTCTGGCAGGGCTGGGTCTAAATGCCTCTCTGGTGCCCACTGGCCCCAGAGCTCAGAGCACCAGGCCAGGCCTGGACATGGGGATGGCTAAGGCTTGAGTGGCCCATGGAGTGCAGGGGGCACAGGGCTGAGTGCCAAGCATTCTCACCCATTCCCCTAGCCCGGGGACACACCCATGGGTGCCCAGGCCCTGAGGAAGAGGAAGTGTGAGTGACACATGCAGGCCCTGGGGGCAGCAGCCTGGCCAGCAAGCAGGGTTTGGTGCTGCCAGCAGGGGGCAGGCTCCCCTGGAGGTGAGTCTGCAGCCCCACCTGGTCAGCCCTGTACCACCAGCTGGGCGTGGGTGAGGGACAAGGGGGAGCAGGGGAAGGAGTGTGGGCAGGATGCATGGAGGTGTGGGTGGGACATATGGGAGGGTGCATGAGGGGTGCGTAGGCACGGCTCATAAGGGGTGCATGGGTGTGGGATACCCAGAGGGCATGGGCAGGACACAAGGAGGTGGGGATGTGAGGTGGGTGGAGTCCACAGGGGGCATGGGCAGGGCACATGGGGTTTGGGCATGGGGTGAGCAGAGGGCATGGACAGGGTGCAAGGTGTGTGGGGTGGGCGGAGTATATAGGGGCATGGGCAGGCACACAGGGTGTGGGCGTGGGCAGGACACGCAGGGCGTGGGCAGGGAGTACTCACGTGATACACATGCCCAGGAGCAGGCTGACGAAGAAGGAGACTTCGCAGATGGAAACCGCTGCCCCTGAGAAACTGAAGTGGAGGACCATGAGGGCCAGGCCTGGCCACAGCCATGGGGGCGGCGGGGCCAGCGTGGGGCTCGAGGGCGCTACCTAGTGCTGGCCAACTGGGCTTCAGAGCCCCAGATCCCCCTGCCCAGCCATTGCACAGGGGAGGTCACAGCGCGTTGCGGCCCCTGGCCAGATCCACTGGGGCAGGCAGCGCTGCGTGGAGCTTGCAGGGCTGAGCTGGGGTCCAGACTCCTACATTGCGAGGCCAGGAGAGGGCCACTCGGCCTGACATCTCCCAATGGCAGAGCCACTCCCCGCGGTAACCCAGCGATACTCACAGCAGGTAGACAGCCAGGCTCTGGAACTGCCCGCGCTGCAGGGTCTCCACTCCCACTCCAACCAGCACTGCAGAGAGAAGGCAGAACTGGAGTCATGGGAACGCTCACCCCATCACTGCCCTGCCTGCTCTTCATGTGGCCCTTGGCTGGGTGTGGGTGGGGAGAGAAGGCAGAGTGTCCAGTGGTTAGAGCAGAGGACTGGAGCCAAAAGGGCTGGGGTCTGTCCTTGGCTCTGCCACAGACCTTCGGCCAATCACTGAACCACTCCATGCCTCAGTTTCCCTAATGGGCTAGTGCTGCTGCTCCCCCCACTTTGCATATGGTATTGGGACTCCCTGGGACTCAATGAGCATTGGAGTCTCCATGGCACCCTTCACTGGGAACAGCCAGGTGATCCAGTTCCTCCTGTATAATAGTCCACTCCTCTTCTGTATTGATGGTGCATCCCAGTTTTGTGCCATCATGGCAAAGGACCACCAGCCCTGGAAACACTGTCTTGCTGTCGGCCCTTCCCCAGCTGTGTGCATGCACCCCATGGTGTAGGGGGTCGGATTGTCACCCTGGCTGGGGCTACCATCCCCTGCCCCCAGTGGTCCAAGGGGCTGCAGGAGGGGGTATGGGTTCCAGCTTGGGGTGTGGGCTCTGGGATGGGGCCAGGAATGAGGGGTTGGGGTGCAGGAGGGGGCTCTGGGCTGGGGGGTGGAGCCGAGGGGTTCAGAGTATGGGAGGGGGCTCTGGGCTGAGGCAGGAGGTTGGGGGGTGGGAGGGCTCCGGCTGGGGGTGTGGGCTCTGGGGTGGAACCGGGGATGAGGGATTTGGGGTACAGGAGGGGGCTCTGGGCTGGGATTGAGGGGTTTGGAGGGCGGGAGGGGGATCAGGGCTGGGGCAGGGGGTTGGGGTACAGTAGAGGGTCAGGGGAGCTGCAGATCCAGTGCTTGGGGCGCGGACAACGCGTGGAGCCCCCCGGCTGCCCCTATACGTAGGAGCCGGAGTGGGGACATGCCACTGCTTCCGGGAGCCACGCGGAGCCAGGGCAGCCAGGGAGCCTGCCTTAGCCCAGCTGCACCGCCGACCGGACTTTTAACAGCCCAGTCAGCGGCGCTGACCAGAGCTGCCAAGATCCCTTTTTGACCGGACCTTCCAGTCGAAAACCGGACACCTGGCAACCCTACTGTGAGGGTGCGCCCGGGGGCGGGGCAGGGCGAAGGGAGGCCTCAGCTGCTGTGGGCTGGCCCTGAGTAGGGTTACCATATTGCAGTCCTGGAAAAAGAGGACACTCCAAGGGCCCCCGGTCCCGCCCCAACTCCGCCCCTTCCCCAAAGTCCCCGCCCCAACTCCGCCCCTTCCCCAAAGTCCCCGCCCCAACTCCACCCCTTCCCCTGAACGCTTCGCCCCCTACTCTTCCCCCTCCCCTGCTTCCCGCGAATCAAATGTTCGGAGAACGGAGTGGTCTCTAGTAGTCAAAGACCCTTCTTCCCCGTCCCCTCCAGTCTATGTCTATCCTATTGCTGTCTAACCCGCCCCAGCTCCTCATCTGATTTCAACTGCCCCCCACTACCACTCTGGATTCCTTGTCCCAGTTTCCTGGTCCTGTCTCACTCTCCTCTCTCCCTGCCCCCATCCCTCAGATGGGATGTTCGTTCCAGATTGGCAAAATTATAAGGCTTCCCAACATTTCAACACTTCCCATTCTAAATTTTCGGTTGCTTAACTATAGGCTAGTTCTGCCCACAACAAAGCATATTCAGAACTTCTGATTAAAGGGATTATAAGTGTAGCAACCTCCATCATAGCTAGTCACCAAAGATTGAACCTGAGCCATCCAGACTTAAAAGCATGAGCTTCTACTACTTGAGTTCAAGATATAACTCCCTGTAGCTATACAGTTATCCTCTAAAAATCCACCAGAGGAGGGCACAAAACACATGTTGGACAGTGAATTACAGAAGTGCCAAATATTATTATTAGACCTGCAATACTTTTCACAATGAACATCAGCAGGGGATAAACTGGGAGTTTAAGAATATTTGGAAAACAATTTTAGAATAACATTCAGTGCTGTGGTTTAAAAGAAAAAAACCTGTTAAAACTCATAACTTAGCAGCATTCAGTGTTTGAAAAAAAAAAAACAACTTCCAGGAGGGATACAAGTTAAGAATGTTGAAACAGGAAGATGTTGTGCTTAGTTACCACTTGGGCAAGGTGGCGTGCTATGTAATACTTGCAAGATTTCACTGTAATGTTTTACAATATATAGCAGCGCAATGCTGATTCCATTGATATTGTTGAGCAATTCATGCTGATTTTATTTCAGCCCACATCTTAATAGTTTTGAATACAAGATCACAATTTTCAGCTCAGTTGGTCTGAACATGCAGAGCTTTAAAATTGCTATGCTCTAAACTGTATATTAACTACAATTTTATAAACCTGCATGTCAGAGAACTGTGTGCCACTACTACTAGACAGTGGCACAAGGCAATTCAGTGTGAATCACAGAAATGTAGGACTGGAAGGGACATCAACAGGTCATCTAGTCAAACCCCTGC